AACAACCTTTCTGGGATAGCAGCCTTTCCTGCTGTGGCATCTCCCCTGTGTTGAAGTTGCCAGCAATGAGCTTTCTTGTGCCCAGGTTCATTACAGTGCCAGCAAAGTCCCTCAAACTTCTCTGAAAGCTGCCCTTTTCTGGCCTTGAATCATGACGACTGTACCAACTTTGGTACCTCTGTGCTAGACTTAAAATAAGATTCAAATTCAAGAGCTCTAGCCATTACATCCTGCATAGTAGAGGGGTGTGCTTGCTTTACTTGTATCTTCAGTTGTGGACTGTCCAAGGCATCTACAAACCGATCTCTCAGCAACAACTTGAGGAGATCAGGTGGTGCAGTTGGGTAGGCCTTGTGTGCCATACTTTCCAAGTCCTGTGCCCGCTCTTGCAGGCTCTCCCCTTTAGCATGGACTCTCGTCCTAAACCTAACCCTGTAGACTTTGGACTGATTTTGAGTTCCATACCTGAGTTCTAGAGCCGCTACCAGTGCTCTATAGTTGTGCCTGTCGTCTGCTGACAACTGTCCAAGTATTTCCAGTGGTTGTCCCTTCAAGCTCATTGCCAGATATACTGCTTTCTGCTCCTCTGTCCTCTGGCTTCCTTCTTACTGGATCACCCCTATTGCTGACATTCATGTCTGGGATGTGACTTCTAACAGGACTGAAGATGTCTGCATTAGGGTTTAGCTGCAGGGTCTGGAAGAGGCTTGTCGTTGTCTGGGGCTGATTAAGTCAATGGTTATTGTATCCGCCTTGTGTAAAAGACAATAAATCATCCTTTAATGTATTTAATTCACTTTGAAATTTACTAATGTTTTCCATTTGTACTTCTTGTTTCCTTTCTTGTTCCAGTTGCCACTGCTGTAGTCTCTCTTGTTGTTTCTTTTCTCGTTCTTCGTGTTTCTTTTCTTTTTCCTCCAATAACTGCTGTAATCTCTCTTCTTGTTTCTTTTCTCGTTCTTCTTGTTTCTTTTCTTTTTCCTCCAATAACTGCTGTAATCTCTCTTCTTGTTTCTTTTCTCGTTCTTCTTGTTTCTTT